TTTTGTTCTTCTTTGTGCCTTTGAAACTGCAAGAGATGCTGGAGAACATCTAGGTGGCAAAATAATAGCACGTTCTGTTCTTCTTTGTGCCTTTGAAACTGCAAGAGACGCTGGAGCCCTTAGAGAACCTAAGGACAAACTGGAGAAGTGAGTTGAAGAGCTGACATGGAGATTAGACTTTGAAAAGCATTTGTGGGTATCTTTTTTTATATTTCTTGTATCTAATTAGTTTGTAAATTTTTGTTATAACTATTGATTTGTTTTATCTTTCCATGGAATGATTATTTGTATGACATTAAATTTTATTCAATGGATTGTATTTTTTGTATATGATATTTTATTTTCTATTATGAGACATTAAATACAAATTTAATTTTAAAATTAGTAAATCTATAAATAATATTTTTTTAAACAGTTAAAATTATGATACGCAAAAATGTGTGTCATCTTCATTTATGACATGGCCTTTCTTGACAGGGGCTTTCTTGATACGCATTGCATGTCATTAACACGCATGTCGTAAGGTTACGACACGCGAATGCATGTCTTCTTCCTTTATGATAGGGCCTTCCTTGATACGCATCGCGTGTCGTAAATGCGCGTCGTCTATAGACGATGGGCAAAAGCGCGTCATCTCTCTTTATGACAGGGCCTTCCTTGACGCGCATTTGCGCGTCGTCTGAGCCTTTTACGATGCACAATGAGCATCGTAAAAGGCTGTTTTTCTAGTAGTGACACTAGTGATCTGTATCTCCTTAATCATCATCACTTGTGATACAAGTAAACTGAGTGGGTCAGGTTGGGAAACATGGTGAGTACATAGGGTCTTCAACCCACAATAAAATAATTATTATGTTCAATCATCAAACAATTAACCCAATTACCCATCCCCATTATCTTCTTTATTCATAAGTACCTTCCCTAAGGATTTATGCTAAGGGTCGTCTCCTACATCATATTTACCTCTCATCTCCTTAGATCGCATTTCCTTATATGTTTGTTCCTAAGGACTCTCGATAAGGATCATCGTCTACATCGCATAGACAATATTGATTCAGGGATTACTCCCTCAATACGTGCCTAACAAGGGTTAGGGTATCATCGCATAAATACGTAGTTACAACATCGCCTGAACTCGTAATTCATAGTAAGGGGTTAGAGTATCATCTCATGAATACGTAGTTACAACATCGCCTGAACTCATAATTCATCACCTACAAGTTATGACCCTGTTGGTGTTTCCACGGGGTTGTCTATAATATCTGTGGTCACCATCTATACTCTGGTAGATGACTACATCTCCAAATCGTCGGACAAGGTTATAGTATCTTTCATCATACATCACTAATTCATCATCACCTATCTATCCTCATCTAATTATCATCATCTATCTCTCATCATTTTATTTCATCACGCATCAACTATTTCATCCACCCATGTTTTATCCCAACATATTTGTAGATATAAAATAAATATACAGTTTAAATCATTTAAAACATGTATCAAATCATTCATCCAGCATAGACAGCAAGTATCCATATAATATGCATACATGACATGTAATTTGTATAAAATACTTCATATATGTTTGTCAGATGAAAGTAACTATGCACTCACTTGTTAAAGTGATGATTCCAAACTCGAACAACGCTTCACTTAACAATATAATTTCCTTCAATGAAACCTAGTATTATTACCACTAGAGTTTAGTATATTATTCGTCGAGACTAATTATTAGTCTAGCTATTATGATAGAATTGAAAATTTGGTCCTTGTGGTATGTCAAAACTAGCACGTTTGGTCCAAATTGGGTTTCGTTTGCAAGGATGGTCCAATAGTTTCATTTTGATGCAAGTTTAGTCTAATGGCTTAACATCCGTTACCAAGCTCGCATTATTTTACCCATGCCGATCTCACTTAAGGGTATTTTAGTCTATTCATCTAGCCCCTTTATTATTTTATTATTATTTAGTCCATAAAGAGACTTCAACATCTCTATTCTCGTCTCCAGCAACAAGCCCTAACGATCATTCCATCTGTGATTTCATCTTCTCCATCAATCGCCCCCCTCTATGATTTCATCTTCTCCATCGACAATGGTGAGGAGCTTCTGCAGAAAGTGGTCAATAGTTCGGACATCGTGGATAGATAACAACCGAGGGCGTCAATTTTGGGGATGTCCTGATCCGGTAAGTATGTTATAGTTTGTTATTGATGACTACTCCCTGATTCTCTAATGTTTCTTTCTGCTTTTTTTCAAGAATATGTCATGTGGGTTAATTGGGTGGTATGATGAACCCATGTGTGCTTATTCGAAAGTTATAATACTAGTACTGCTTAGGACAATCAATAAGCTACGAAAAATAGTGGATGATATAAAAGATCAAGAAAGTAAGTATGAAAAAGAAGTGGTGAAGATCAAAGAATAAGCAACTATGTTGAAGTATTACCTAGTCTATAGTTGGATTGTTTTGTTGTTGTGTTGGTGTTGTTGTAAGTGCACAAATGTTATGGTTATCTTTTGTAATAGGTTAGGGATATATGTGTCTGGTTTAGCTAGTTTTTTGCAAATGTAGAACATTTTTGTAATGCAAATTAATGGTAATGAAAATTTGGTATCTATTAACCAATTATGGATTTGTTATGTTGTTCATACATAACCTGCTAAAGATAACATACCATGCATCCATGTGTAGTTAGTAGAAAAGCATACTAAACATATAATACCTATTACCATCTTCAAAATACATGTCATAAGTTAATTGAAAACAAAGTTATTGCAATAAAAGACATCCTACATCTAGGAATCAAAACAAAGTTGTTCAACATAGTGAAACCAAAAGATAAAACCAACATAGTCCATCAAGTCCCTCCCTGACCTTTGCATGTCCTGGAGTTGTGACCTTGGTTTCCACACTTACTACATGTCACACTAACAAACTTTCTTGTTAGTTTCCCACTACCTTGTGGGCCATGACCATGAATCTCACTGGGACCAACATCTGACCTTTGAATCTTGCTTTGACTTCTCTCATCCATGGACTGCCTTCTCTTACTTTTGGGTCTCCCATGTTGATTACGTTGTGGGGGAGGTGTGATCTGCATTGGATACTCACTTCTAGGCCACAGTACCCGACCTCAGAAATAACATGTCTGCAAGGGATACCTGTTAATTCCCATTTCCTGCAGCTACATGCCCTTTCTTGCATCTTAACAACATGTTGATCATTCCATGGGCATGTGATTTGGTATTTTTCATCACCACACCAATCTGCAATCTACTGAGTAGCTGCTACTTCATTTTCTCCATGATCTGTGTTGTTGTTGGAGTGAGTGGGCCTACACACTTCTATTGAACTTTAAGCACATTGCATATCCTCTTCATCATATATTCCCTAATAAACTCCAAGCAGCTAATAATTGGTTTATCTCTCCCATCAACCAGCTTGCCATTAAACACCTCACAAAGGTTGTTTAACAGCATACCTGTGGTTGCTCTCCCTATATAAAAAAGGGTAAGAGTTTTATAATGTTGTGGTGGTCATAAAAGGGTAAAAGGGTCATAACAGGGTAAAACGGTAAAAGAGTCATAATAGCTTACCTGTGAAATGGCTTTTTGCCTAATGTTGTGGTGGTATTGACTTCAACCATTGATATGTTGACTTGTCATATAAACTCAATTGGTGCATGTAATGGTTAAACTCTGGCACTATTGTAGATGTGGCACAATCCCAAAGGTGATCTTTATATTCCTTAGTTCTCCATTGTTTCTTCATGCTCTCATGTATATGTCTGAGACAGGACCTATGCTCAGCACATAGGAACAGTTGACTAACAGCTTGTAGCAAACCCTGGCAACAAATAAAACATAGTTAGAAAATAAAGATTAAAAATAATAAAAAAGCGACCATTACCTTTTGTCTGTCACTAACAAAAGTGAAATTAGACAAAGCATGTAGATCCAAGTCATCACCAAGACAATCAAGGAACCACTACCAAGATTCATAGTTTTCAATCTCTACAATGGCATATGCAAGTGGGTATATGCCATTGTTGGAATCTAATCCAATTGTAGTTAAGATCTTGCCTGGATAAGGGCCTTTCATATGAGTCCCATCTAACCCCAAGAAATCTCTTAAATAAGCTTTGAATCCTTTCTTCATCGCCCCTAGACAAACACTGATTCTTTTGAAACATCTTGAAGTCCAATTCACCATGTTAGACTCTGAAATATCTCAAAGTTCTAATTTGACTGTGGTATCAGGATTGGTTGACTGCAACTCAAGGATATAGTCTCTTAGAACTTCATACTGTTTTTTGTAATCACCCATTACAATCTTTTTTGCATATACTTTATCTCTAAAAACTTTATGACTTGAGAAACCCACTCCATACTTCTTCTGTAGCTGTTCATGGAGAGCTTTAACTGGGATAGTATGGTTGGATTCTACCTGATCCATAATTTGTTTGGACATAAACGTTGTTGTTGTAGCTCTGACCTTCCTTGTTTTCATACAAGTGTGTTCGTCTTCATATGTTTTAATATACCAACTGCTTTTATCTGTAGACCTCGAGGCATGTAACATCCAAGGACAAGAAGAATCTGCTTTATCATGACCTAACCCACCTTATTTGTCATTTTCTTTACTTTTCCCTTTACCTTTCCCTTTAGTTTTCTCAGGTTGGGTAGGTCCACCAACTCCATCATTAGTAAATGCCACAACTCCATTACACATGGCCTTCAATCTGCATTTGTAAATTTTTTTAAATGCAATATTCTTTTTAGTTTCCAATGCATGCATTTTTATTTTCTCTTTCAACTCCTACTTACTGTTAAACTTTTGACCTATTTTAAAATGACACTTATGAACCTCACCTAAAGAACAACTTTTTTCCTAACTTAGTTGTTTCAAAACTGCTCTTCTTTTCCTGTCCTGATCGGAATCCTCTTCCATGGAATCAAAAGCATCATTGTCAATGACATCTAACTCATCAGCTTCTTAATCACTCTGATGTTGTCTAGGATTCCTAATCCTTTTATCCAAGAACTCTACTTCTGTATCAATACTCATGTTAAAATCCCTCATATCAACTTCAACATATTCAATTACACTATCTTCATCCACCCAATAATCACTATCATCCCTATCATCTTCCTGCTCTGTTTCACTTCCTTCTTTACTTTCAACCTCACTGACATTTTGTTTTCCATTACTATCCACGTTAGACTCAGCTTGGTTTTCACTTCCATCTTGGACACAAGCATCATTTTGATAGTAAAAATCCCAAAAGTCATTCATCTGAGGGTGGTTTTCTTCATCCATATGAGGTTGGTTTTCTTCATCCATTTGAGGTTCATTCACATCATGCATGTCAGGACCATTGACTCCATCAATATTGCTTTGTAGTATTTCTTGGTAGAGTCCAATATCAAAAGGAATAGGTGCCTCAACAAAGTCTTTGGCTATCTGCTCAATCTCACTAATAACATCAAAGGATATTTTCTTACTACAAGATGCCATCACTCCATCCTTGCTCATAACCCTTCTCTTATTATATTCATGTGATAAGGATACGACTTGAAGTACTTCATTAACTTGGATTTTAGTTTCGTTTGGTTGAGTGGGCACCACATTAGTAGGTGTAGTCATCACAGGTGATTCCTTTGATTGGTCATCAGGAGCTTCATCATTGTGTTGAACATCCTCATGTGGTTCATCTAACTGTACAAGGGTGACCTTGGTAACAGGTTTAGGATTCAAGAAATAGGTGAGTAGTTTTGTTTCACCATGTTATGTGTATACCATCATCACTTTGTGCTCATTGACATATTGATAAAAGTTTGCAACAACTTCATCATTTCCTAAAGGGCGAAGACCAAAGTGGAAGTCTCCACTAGGCACAAGAAAATGGTAGTATATAACAGGAAGAACCCCATATCTGAAACCTTTCGTGATTGCATCGAGCTCATGAACTGAAAACTCATCTATATCTACCATGTCCACATAGTTTACAGTTCCGTCAATGTAACGAACATCAGGGTACTTATTGAACTCACCTCCATGGTACAACTTAATGGTAAACAATGTTGGGTGTCCATCTTCAAAATAAGTAAAAAAACACTTCAGGTGGAGTTACGTCAAAAAAAATTGAAGAAATCAAAAGATGAAAAAGGGAAAATTACGTACCATAAACAACCTTGGGGTTGAAGTGTGTGTTTAACAACCTTACGTGCCACATTGGTATGTTCATCCACCAATAATCTCACCAAATCGTAGCTTCACTAACACAATAGATTTTGTGCCTAGGGATTTTATTCATCTTGGTTAAAGAACAACGGTTTACGTTATTGAGGAGGAAACGAACTGCTTTCATTGAGATTTTGCGGGAACGGTTACATGGATGAATAGACTAAAATACCCTTAAGTGATAGGGGCATGGTTAAAGTTACGGGAGCTTGGTAACGGCTGTTAAGCCATTGGACTAAACTTGCAACAAAATGAAACTATTGGACCACCCTTGCAAGCCAAACCCAATTTGGACCAAACGTGCTAGTTTTGACATACCACATGGACCAAATTTGCAATTTTGTCAGCTATTATTAATATTATATAAGCGTGAAACAATAATTATATAACCCATAATAATAGCCCAAGTACTTATTGTAAGTTCCTAATAACATTACTATAATTAAATAAAATTTATATTAAAAATAGCATAGGCGTAGCTCACTTACAGCGGGTTTTATAGAAAACTGGGCTTTCCTAGGATTAGCATTCCTGAGCCGAAAAGCTCTTTTTCTCGGAGCCATCGAGCACTTTGGGGCTTTTGCCTCGTGCTAGGGAGGTTCCCTAGGTTTTTTTGGGGGTTTCGGGGCTAGAGAGAGGTTCAAGAGAGAGAGAGAGAGTAAAGAGAAGAAAGAATGCGAAAGGTGTGAAGAAAATGAGGGTGCGTGAGGTTCTATTTATAAGGTGAAATATGGGTGAACTTGGTGCCAGATGTCACCATCTGGTGGCAAGACTTGCGGAGAAAGCAATGGCCAAGATTGTGCCACGTCATCCATTTTCACACAGCACACTTCCGACTTCTAAAATACATAACTTTCACATACGAGCTCTGTTTTTGACGTTCTTTATATCCATGCGTACGTAAAAATAATATATACAACTTTCATTTTGACTCTGTCAGCTAATTCTCGACCGATCTTAAATTTAATAGTACGACGAGATTATACTCTTAAATGTTCGTGTAAAATTCATAACTTCTACATACGGACTCTTTTTTCTTCTGTATTTTTACCGTTGAGTTCCTATTAATGATATCTACAATTCTCATTTAGGTCGTGTAGGCCAAAAACTGCTCGATCTAATATTCGAGTTTCGGGTTGTCCACTACTAAGCCAAATCTTAGAAAACTCATAACTTACTCATACAAAGTCAGATTTGGGTGTTCTTTTTTGTATGTTCTCGTTTTAACGTACACTAAAACTTTCATTTAGATTTCTAAGGATAAAAATTCCTCCATCTTAAATTCACTATTTATGTCTCTCGGTTCGTATCGGTTTTGCCGTAAAACTTCGACGGACCATAACTTCTTCGTTATAACTCGGATTTTGGCATTCTTTATATGTATGGAACCTTTGAGATGTATTATACAACTTGGTTAAGAATGTTTGTTCTAAATAAAATTTTGTCACAAATTCATTTTCGACAGCTATTATCTCTAAATTAACTAGCCCAGATCTACAGGCGTTACAATTATCTCCCCCTTAGGATGATTACGCCCCGGAATTAACGAATTAGGCTCACATGATGAATCCATATGTTATCTCTTCATCCTAGGTAATAAAACATTACTTTGATGTTTCTTCAAACGAGTATCTAACTCTAAGACTTCCTGATTACAGGCGATGCTCGATCTTGCACTTGCTCCCTATCTCACGTTAGACTCCAAATTATAACCTTCAAGTCACAATCTTAATCCTTATTGGAGACTGCTTCTTCTTATTAACAAACTTAAGATAATTTATTTTACTACTACAATGGACCGATGTGCCATATTCTAATGACTTATCATCGTATGTTGCAATGCTTAGACTCAGGTCTCTTAGAGTCAAATTCTAGAACAGACTATACCTTCCTTCATGTTCTAATGTGATATAATCACATCTTAGAAGGTAGTCTTCCTAGCTACAAGCAACTATCGCGATAACTCTACTGATCGCTTTGATTTTCTTTCCCTTCTAGCTTTGATCTTAAGTCAGATGCTACATCGGACTTGGTTCTCTGAACCATCTAACATACTCTTCTTAGCCAGACTCAATTTGATATGACCACTAGGGTCAGAATAACAATCATATTCTTAGTCATTACATATATAGTAGTAATGACATACTTGAATAAAACAGATTCAATTACTAGCTTCTTGGTAACCTTGTGACTTTTTATAATCTATGCGTGTGTCATGTGCTTCCGGTAGTATATGCATCTACTACCTTTCACACCTACTCATACTCATCCCAAGTATTGTATCACAGTTTTCCAATTAACCAAAAAAAATCACATAACAAATTGACACACAAGATAACAAAACGAAGGTTTTATATTATTCCTTGAAACGATTACAAAGGTGTTCAAGTTCAACCTATACTATGCCTCTAATACTACACCTCATGATACTAATCGCTTGGCTTCTTCATAACTTGATCCTCAGATATCCATCCTCGCTCTTGATTCCTTGCATTGCCATCTACTTTGTCAACGATCATTTGGAATGCTCTTGCTTTTGGCTTTAGCGGTGCATTTTTCCTTGCAGCTTCATTCTTCTTTGGATAGTTCTTCGAAATATGCCCATCATTTCCACATTCATAGAACTTCTTATTGTCGAATGTACAATCTATGGAATAGTGACCGGTCCTACCACACTTATAACATGTCACTTCTCCATTGCATCTTCCGAAGTGATTCTTTTTGCACTTCTCACACCACCTTGCTTCACCTCCTCCTCCTCCAGACTTTGGGAATTTTCTCTCCTTGTTGGACCTTGAAGATCCTTCATGCATCCTTTTCTCGCACACTTCAGTTCTCTCCAGACCCTTTTCTCTTATCTGGGTCTCCACATTCTTAGCAGCCCAGATGGCGGCTTTCAGAGTGGTTGATTGCTTAACCATTGGACCAAAGTCTGCTAATAATTTGTGGGCAAACTTGTTGACCTTGGAGAGCTCAGTTGGAACTAGATAAGGAACGAGCTTCATCTTCTCCGTAAAACTTTCAACATACTCAGTGACACTCATCCTCCCCTTCTTCAGTTCTGGAATTTATTGTTGATCTCCAAAATATCCGGCTCAGAACTGTACTGCATCTTTAATTGCACTAGGAAATCTTCCCAATACATCTTGGTTGCTTCTCCCTTGGGCATCATGTTAGCTAGTAGCTTCCACTAGCTCAGTACTCTAGACTTTAATAGAGGGACCACAAGGGCGGTCTTTTGTTGGTTGCTACACTCACAACTCTCAAACATTCGCTCCATCTTGGAGATCCAGTCCATAATATCCACCGGTGATGGGCTTCCAAAAAGACTCAGGGGTTTAGATGACATGAAATCCTTGTACTTGCATCCACATTCGTCATTTCCTCCATCCTGATTCTTTTGTCTAACTATCGGTGGGTTGTTTTAACCAATCGTCACTGTAGTTCCATCTTTCTTACTGCCCATAATTCAGCTCGGGCGATTCACTAGGCATCGTAAGTTCCTGTCGATTTTGTTGAAGTAAACGCCTTGTTTCCTCCATTTGACGATCCAACATCATTAGGATCATCTCTTTTACCCCGGCCATGGTGATTGGCTCAGCTGCGGTTACTACAACATGTATTTGTTCAATCACTAGGGGTTATTGATTCATATTTTCATTCATGTTCCCAACTCCACTTCGGGTTCTTGCAATTTCGATCTATACCCCAAATCAGACGGTTGGTGTGTAATGATGAGAATTAACATAGGAAATTTTTTATCTATGATTGATGTATAAATCTCCTTATCTCTCCAAAAAGTTATATGCTAGTTCTAATACTGTAATTAAACATTTAGAAACCTGGACACATAAAGTTTCCAGATCCGGTCAGCAATCTACCATAGATCTGATCATATAATGCATATCATAAATCATTTAGCACATAAAAGCATGTTAGGCATTTTTCCCGAAATAAGCTAGTGCTTGTGTCTATTCAAGTGTATCAAATAATACACACTCCTCACAATCATTTCTTAGCATTCTATGTTTAAGTCTAGAAATAAATACATATTCCTAGTTCGCTTAAACTAATGCTCTAATACCAACTGTGACATCCCCATTTTCACGGCCAGAGAAGACCGATTTTCTTTATGCTTTATAAAAATCAGAGTACCTATTTTATAAAAAATGTTGCGGAATTTATTCCCAGAAAAACATGATAATTTCGTTATCAAATCATTTCCAAAGAAATCTATTTTTATTCCTTTTAAAACATTTGGGATGTCTTCATCAATACAGAAACGTAAGCATAAACAGAACTTACATTCATTTACACTAGTGATCTATATCTCCTTAATCTCTCAGTGTAATGTAACTTCACATCGTCACTTATGATACAAGTAAACTGAGTGGGTCTGGTTGGAAACCTGGTGAGTACATAGGGTTTTCAACCCACAATAATATAATTATTATGTTTAATCATCAAACAATTAACCCAATTACCCATCCTCGTTATCTTCTTTATTCCTAAGTACCTTCCCTAAGGATTTATCCTAAGGGTCGTCTCCTACATCATATTTACCTCTCATATCCTTACATCTCATTTCATTATATGTTTGTTCCTAAGGACTCTCCCTAAGGATCATCGCCTACATCACATAGACAGTATTGATTCAGGGATTACTCCCTCAATACGTGCCCAACAAAGGTTAGGGTATCATCGCATGAATACGTAGTTACAACATCGCCTGAACTCGTAATTCATAGTAAGGGGTTAGAGTATCATCGCATGAATATGTAGTTACAACATCGCCTAAACTCGTGATTCATCACCTATAGGTTATGAACCTGCTGTTGTTTCACGGGGTTGTCTATAATAGTCCGTAGTCGCTATCTATACTCTGGTAGATGACTACATCTCCAAATTTCCTGACAAGGGTATACTATCTTTCATCATACATCACCTATTCATCAGCACCTATCTATCCTTACCTAATTATCATCATCTATC